GATTCTCGAACTTTACACAATGTCAAAGGGAATGCATTTTTACAACTTTGTTTTTCTTTTACTTTTGGCACAGCTTTGGAATTTTAATGCTTGGAGGATACAGACCGACAGTGTTTACAGGAAGACTTTATCTTTTTTTGGTTTTGGTTTTCTACGGTCGGATGGATACAGTGTCGCAGTGGGTAGCACTTTTGCCTTGCAGCAAGAAGGTTCAGAGTTCGATTCCCAGCATGGGGTTTTTTTTGCTTGAAGTTTGCATGTCTCCCTGTGCGTGTGTGGTTCTCTCCAGGTACTCCGGTGTAGGTACCAGACCTACTCAGCCGATGATGTTACGCTACATGATTGGTTGAACGTCGCCACATGATGTAAAACATTGTGGTTGCCCAGACAACGATGATAACATCACGCTGCGTCGGTGTGCCGTGTCGATAGCATCTGTAGTGTTAGCGTGTCTAATGACCGATGAAGTTTTACCTGATTGATAACAAAACTGAAAAATGTGTTTATGGTGAACAAAGTAGCTGTGCTCGGTAGCTAACAGGTTAGCCTAGCTCGGTCAGTTAGCCACATTAAGCTACACTACTTTTAACTTTGCGTTGACAACAACTGTTCATTTTCTACATGTAGAATAACTGTTTTATTTGTCTAAAATCTCTACAAAAGTCATTTTTTAAAGATGTTTCATTTGTCCTCCCTCACCTAAGATCTTAACAAAAAGAATAAAAATAAACTGAGACTTTTTGTCACTTTGTTAAAAGTCAGAACTCAGTCTTAAAACGGAGTACTTTCCTTCAAGACTGACAATTTTGTACTTTCCACAACTTTAGACCGATGAAATGTAAAATAATAGCAAAAGAATAGACTCCAACATTTGATCCTTAAGAAACGGGTTCAATACAGTTTATCCGAGTGGAGTTGCCATATGTTGACATCATAAGAAGGGGCGGGGCCCGAGCAGATCTGGTACATACACCGACTTCCTCCCACAGTCCAAAAATGGTTTCCTACAACATTCAACATTAATCAACCCTGTGAACCAAAATTTAGTCCTCATTTCTAACTGCCTCCAAGTTTATTTCCTCTCTTCAGGTTGTAGCAGGAAACCCACCTACCTGTTTCTAAACAGCTGATATTTGGTTTTAGTTTATTCCCTTTTAACTTATACATTATTTACTATGTCATATTTCCCATTTGTGTGTTTTGTATCACATTGCACTGCAGAGTTTTGACATCATGCCTGGCTCTAAGGGTTCCATCCGCCATTGGTACAGATTCCTCGGTTGTTATTGTGCATCTGGAAAAAAAAGCTGTGCTGGAGAAAACGTGCAGCAGCTTTGTTTTTTATCCCTTCGTTGATGGTATCAGCACTTTCCTCTCCCATTACCATCTTAGCTTGTTTATGGAGACTTTTATGCACCTACACACACCTGGCAGGCTAAGCTTTTTTTTTTTTTTGCACCAATCAATTCTCTGTTTATTCTTAACAACCCCGTCAAAGGTGATATATCAGAGTCTTCTAGAAGAAAAAGAGCATTTTTGCTAAATTAGCCTGAGTTAGTGCGTTGCTGTCTGTGTTATAAACAAAAACCTCAGAGATCCCTGGTTGGTCGCACCTGAAAGGAATGAAAACAGAGAACGATGCAAAACTTTCATCCATGGTCACGTTTGGACTAATTAACATAGATGCTCTGACACTAAGTGTGATTTTAAAGTTGTTTAAGTCTCTAGTTTTGTCGTGCAGACATGTAGGAAGTGCGACTTTAAGGCTTTGTTGGTCAGGTATAGAGATAAATGCTTTAAGATTAAATTAGACTAAAGGAGGAGCAAATAATCAGAGGATGTGGGAATAAAAGCCATCAAGCACAGATGAGGTCGAGTGTGCTGTGATTCACACGGATTACGGCCGTTCTCATCCTCTGAAGCAGGAATTAGCTGATCAGCAGCGTCCTCCTGACCCTGCGCGTCCTTCCATCCATCCATCCAGCTGCCGGCCTGCTTACAGCAGCACTTTGGATCCCCGATCGGGCCGAGCCACCGCCGCTATCTCACTGTCAGGCTCTGACCCAGCCAGTTGAATTACTGCGATTCTTAGAAAAGCAATTAGCAGAGCTTGAGTGTGACACAGTTTTAACGAGGTTATGGTTTGAGTCTGGGCTGAGAGGAAGAGGAAGCAGTCGGTGTGAGAGAAGGGGGGGGGGTGGAAAAAACAAATCTGTGGAAAGAGGAGAGCGGAGCAGCGATGCGTTCAGAGCCCGGTTCATAGTCTACCCTCGGGGGTCTCCTGCCGCTTACTCTGGCCCTCGTGATGCCTGCTACTCCATTAATCACACTGATGCATGGCAGAGGTCTGGGAAGCAGAGAAAACAACACAACTGTTGTCTCTTTGGTGTGTTTGTGCGAGGAGTCGGCTCCTCACCACGGGGCAGAGCATTCCGACCTGCAGAAACAACTACATCAACAGATTCTCTTCGCTTTAACTTGATGTGTTTATGGTCTAACTTCCAGGTTAATGTGCTGAAGGGTTCAGGCCTGATGGTGCGGAGCTGAGAAAAACCTCTTTGTAATGAAGATAAACAGCTTAAATTGGTGATAGAAGTTAAGCTCTAATGCAAAAAAAGATGAATTTCTCTTAAAAGAAGAGCAGTTGAGTGTCGCCAACTGCCTGAACTTAAAGCGGAGGTCTTCAATGGGGGGTCCACAGAGGTACTGCAAAGGGGTCTTAAAAGTTTCGGTTGATTAGACTTTTTTTTTTAATTCCCCGCTGCAATTTTTTCCACTAATGAAATGTCTTTAAATCCACATTAACATGAATTCAACACACTGTATTAAACAGATAAATGGAGGCAGAAGATGTCGTTCAGTCATCAATGCACACATTCAGCGACACACAGGAGCTCTTTCAAGCTGGGCACCGTTTCATTCACAACACCTGTCCCATCAACCAGGAATCAGAATCAGAAATACTTTAATAATCCCAGTGAGAAATTACTTTCGTTACATTACTCCATCTGTAATAGAGTGACTATAGGACCAGTTTGATATAATACTGTTTCATACAATATATATATTTAGAGGATCCCCACTCCATCATGCCATTGGTTTAGGGGTCCTTCACCTGGAAAACAATGAAGACCCCTGGATTAAAGCAATGCTGGTGAAGGTTCTCAGTCATCCAGGTTATAGTCATTCCAAAAAAGTTAAAACAATAAAGTGGACTTTGTTTCCAAGTTTGAAGACGTTTTGCTTCCCATCCAGGAAGCTTTTTCAATTCAAAATGTCAGAAATAGGGTTGAGTTCTAGGCTTTATAAAGTGGCCCAACACAGCCTTGTTTTTGTTAGAAAACATGCAACTTGAACTGAAAGGGGGGTCGTTAAAGGAAATTGTTGGCCTAGATGAATAGGCAAGGTCTTCTGTTCCCCTGTAAAGGGGTTGTGATGATAGTGGGAAAAAGATAAACTCTATTGCTGCATTGCAGGTTTTTGAAAACTGAAATCTGACTCCACCCCCTCTGTTTTAGGATTTAATTGAAAAAGCTTCCAGGATGGGAAGTGAAACATCTTCAAATTGGAAACAACGTCCACTGGATTGTTTTTTTCTAACTTTTTTTGGAGTCTTTAAACACATAGTTTCAGGCAGCAAATGGACAGGGATGAACCAGTCAGCTTGTTTTTTGAAGTACTTGCAGAAAGCTGTTTAATGTGTAGTTTCAATTGTTCCCATGTGTTTAATCTGGTTATTTTCATCATTTCTATTTGTCTCATTTCCATCATCATAATCTGTGTAGCTCAAGCATCTCGACCTCAAGCATCTGATCCACGCCTGCAGTGAGAGGAGGAAACTTTAACATGGAAATCGCAGTTATAAATATCATGGAGCCATGTTGTTCAACAATATTAGTTCTTTCCAACATCCATGGGGGGATATTAAATTAGGTTTCTCAGTTATTTAGCCTGAGTCTAATTTAATGTTTTCTGATGGATTATATTTAATATGCAACAGCAAGTAGTTCAATTAGAACACAACTGTTAAGAGTTCATTTGAAATACTGACAGTTGTCTGTTTAGTTTAGCTTTTAATACTGGAAATTTGATGATTATTGCTCATGGATAATAAAAAAAATATGTTTCTGAGAAAAATAGGTCAATCTAAAAAAAATAGAAATATGAGACTAATTAAAGGAAAATCCATCTGCTGTGAATTATCTGCTTTTAATATACGGTTAATGCTCTTTTGTATAAATTAATGCATAAGTTTAGCAAGGATGGAGACTAGGCTGAAGTTCTATCCTACCCAAATCTACGCCTTCCTACCAAAGCTGTGCTTTATTCCCCCCTTTTTCTGCATCTTTGTGCACCAATAAAAACTCCCATTGCCTTGGATTCAGCATTCTGTGAACAGTAGGCTTCTTTTTTTAACTTTATTTTTGTTTTGAAAAGGCTTGAAGCACATCTTTAGAGAATTTCATAAGTAGTTTACATCCCCCCACCCATATCCCCACAAAGTGTGCTGATAGAAGAAAACAAATTAAATGACAAGAATTAGACACAAATACACACCAACAAACAAACCAAAAAATTTAAATAATTCAACATTATTTTTACTTTTCTTATTTTTAATCCCTCCCTTTCTCTCCTTGCATTTCTTTTTCTTTTTTCCTCCAAACAGCATGCTATTTAAGCCACATTTTTACCGTTCCTTACTGTTTTTTCAGATTGTTGACTGCCTGCTGGGCAGCGGTTGAGTCGGGAGTCATTCTCATGATCTTTCAGTCTTAACGTCACATTTATGAATTGAGAATCAATTGTATCTGTCAAATTATTTATTTAAAATTCCAAAGAAACTCTATTTTGTTTCAAAATCTGAATTGTAGCACTCTGTAGTAACTCTATAGTTAATTGTACTCCATGTTGTTTGGCTCTACCTGTGATCTGTTATGCTACCAATGGATGGAATCCCTCCGGTATAAGACGCCACTCTTCCCTCTGTGCGTTTGCTGCAGGTACACCATCGACCGGCGCACAGACATGGACCGAGTGTTCAACATCCACGCGGGGAATGGGTCGGTGTTCATCCTCCGGGAGCTGGACAGAGAGGAGAAAGCCTGGCACAACATCTCTGTCATCGCCACGGAGTTCAGTGAGTTCAAACAGCTTTGTGGAAGTGATGGACGCCTGTAGATGTTAAAGGGAAGCGCTGGATGGCGTTCTTAAGCTACGACTTTAAACCTATAGAGGGCTGATTTTAGGGCCGATTATTTTGTAATTCGGTTAATCTGTTGATTCTTTTTTTTTTGATTAATCAATTATTAACCAGATAGTTAAAGGTTGTTTAAAGAAGACTTTTTACTAGATTAAATCAGGTGAAACTAAAACATTTCTACTTTAGGAGTTCTGGATAGAGCATATACAGATGAAACATGTTTTTTTTTTTTATCTTAAATGCAAAATTTTTACTTTTTGTTTTTTTTTTACAATTTTGGTATAACTACTGCTTTAAGCGGGTCACTCTTTCAGTGAAAGGCATGTTTTACAGTCTCTATACTCCAGTTAACGATTAATCAAATAGTATATAAATTGAGGATTATTACAATAATCGATTAATCTTGATTAATCCAATTTATCGTTTCAGCCCCAATGAGTTACCTGCTGTTTGCCCCTAATACAGTTCTGCGAAAATTATTTCCCCATCTTACAGATTTCTTGTTTTTTTTTTTCTTGGTTAGATTTGTTCAATAAATGACTAAAGTTCTCCAAACCAACCTGGGCCTCAATGAGCAGGTCAATAAATCGCAAATTAACTCTGACTAATCACATTTTCCAGAAGCCATACCAAAAAAAAAAAATCATCACACACAGCTCTGGAATCATCACTTGAAAATAAAACTGTCTGACAACTTGAAGTATTTGAAAAGATTAAGAAAAAATTAGTCTTTCATTTGAAGAAATTCAAAAATAGAATAAAAGGAGGCCACAGATAATCCAGGTCAACACCTCCAGGATCTCTAGCTCAGTTAAGGTCAAAGGTCATGAATATACAGAAAGAACCAGAGACTGAGCGACGTCTCCAGAGCAGAACCACTGCTGACCCTGTTAAATGTACTGTAACCCTAACAGATTATGAATCATTAAAAGCAAAGCGTCACATGGTGGTGGCAGCATGATGATATGGGGCTGCTTTCCTCTTTCACACTTGAGTGACTGGCTCTAACTGAGGGAAACATGGATGCTGTGCTCTAGCAGAAAAATGTTCAGTTTACCACCAAAGGTACATACAGCATAAAAATAAGTAGCTAGGAGTAAACTAATCAAAATCTGGGGTCACACTTAGCCTGGTTCTGCTGGAGGTTTCTTCCTGTTAAAAGGGAGTTTTTCCTCTCCACTGTCGCTACAAGCATGCTTAGTGTGAGGGATTGCCTTTGAGTCAATGAGTCGATGCAATCAAATGGTTTTCCTTAGATAGAAAACTTTGAATCAGTTTGACTGGATGATCTGGTTGAACTGTAAAGTGCCTATATATATATATAAACTGAATTCAATTTAATTGAATTAATCCAAATAACACAGTACTGAAAAAAATAAATAATAAAAAAACAAAATTATAATATTACTGTATAACATTTCAGAAAACACCTGATTTCAGTGATTGCCTTAAAGTGTTATTCAACAAAATTTTAGATCAGGAGCTCCATCAGAATATATATATATATATATATATTTTTTTTTTTTATTTACATTTTTTGCTTTAGTCAATTCATTATTTTACTAGCAGCTGATTTTTTTATGGAAAATTAAATAAACAGGATGTTTGTGCTTCAAAAACTAAGAAAAAATGGAAGGAAAAATTTTAAATAAATAATAAATAAATGAGGTGGTCTTGGTTTGTGTAGCTTGTGTAATCATAGTTGTTTGACATTTAAATGATTAAGAGCAAACTTTAGTTCTCTATTTTCCAATTACAGTGATTGCAGCTATTAATCTATAATTTCAACTTAAACGTAAAAAACGTCTATATTTTAAATGCCATGTTTGTAATGTGTCTCCTTTTCCTTTATTGCGTCTGAAACGTCTTAAAACTTTGCAGACTTTCTGTTTTAATTGTTCTATTAAGAGATTAAAACAGCAAAGCCTTTTATTTGTTGTTGTGCAGGGTTGTTTTTTGTTTCAGACAAGCTTTTATTTATTTATATACGCATAATTTGATTTAGATATAACTGGTTGCCAGGAAACGCAGCCAAAGCCTCACACATGTTCGGCCCAACACTCGTGTAAAGGAATAATTATCCGTGTGAAGTCACTATGTCCACCTTTGTGTTTCCCAGACAACCCACGCCAGATAAGCCGTGTGCCTGTATACATCAGAGTGCTGGACGTCAACGACAACGCTCCAACATTTGCCACCAATTATGAGACGTTCGTGTGTGAGAACGCCAAGGCTAATCAGGTCAGTTATTACAGCGCATAAGGTAATCGCCATGGTTTCATCCGGACCCCACCGTTAGGATTAGGTGTCCAATTAGCAGGCCTCAGAGAGAATTTGCAAGTCTACCACATGTGTTTGAAAGAACTAGGTGCTTTATTCACATCCTAGATTAAAAAAAAAAAAGAAAAAACTTCCATTTTTCAAATAGAATAAAGATATCAAAGGTAGATCAAATAGAATATTTCATAACTCTAGGATTATATATTTCAGAGCAGGAAAAGCTCCTGGTCCAAATGTTTGGTCCAGTTCTGGTTTCATTTCAGGGATTCACGTCTGAACTAAAGGTTGGACCAAGGGGAGGGGGAGGGGGGAAGTCTGGTTTGTTTAAAGTGGATTAAATGTGGCAGATGTGAACACACTGTAAATGGAATTGGGAGGATTCTGCAGTAGCTACTAAAGCAGCAGCCACTGGGTCCAAATAATTAACTTAGTTAGTAAAAAGCCACAAACTAGTAACTTAAGCTAAGAGCTACTCCATAAAAACCCAAGATAGGAACTTCTGAACATCGTTAAACAGCTACATAAGCTAACAGCTACTCTGGAAAGCTGTTTCTAAATCAATCAATGACTTTAACTATCCAAGCCGACAACCACAGAATTAGTGCTTAAAGGGGAACACCATTTTTTTTCACATTGGGTCCTTGATTTTACGTTATTACATCATGTTCTATTCACCATTATGAGTTAAGATATTCCGTTAGGTTATATCCAAGTAACGTCTTCGTATGGGCAACGACTTGAAGGCACAAACTAAACTGATCATAATTTGTTCTTTATGGTACGCCAGCATTCATAGCATGTGGGTGAATCACTGTCCCCCAGACAGCCGCGGTTAGATTTTCTGTATGACGTCATTCGTCACAGAAACGAATGTCGTTGTGCACGCTCTGTTTAAAAGGTGCTGTTCTCGTCGCTTAAAGCTTACCGTGGCCAAATGTCCGCTCTAACCACTAAATCCTTCAATCACTATATAGAGCGGTGACTATATAGTGGACTTTATAGTGAACTGTTAACTGACCTCTCTGACAGAGGATCACTGCTTTTTGCTCCATTGGTCACGTAATTCCTCCTCCACTGGGCAGTACCTGTGTTATTGGTTTCCGCTGTCGGGTAGCGACAGCCTATGGTGACAGCGAATCCCATAATGCTTTGCGAGGAGAGCTCTCTGCGCAAAGCATTCTGGGATATATCTGCCTCTTCTGAGGCCTTTCCTTTCTTCTCATATATTTCGTAGACACTTTTTCTCTTACGACCCTCGGCCATTTTCAAAGAACCGCAGAGAGAAAGTTGAGCTTCGATGACTGTCTGAAACCGTAGCTCACCACAGATATACGTCTGAAAGTACGCATGCGCAGAAAAAGATAGCTAATGAGACAAGCACGTAGGATGGCCTTATGTAAACATCACCAGAATGATTGACAATTAGGATGACCACTTATTTAGATGATCCACCTGGAAATAAAAGATTTTCCTCTATACCTTTAAGTTGTATTAGCTGTAATGTCTGCAGCTAATCTATAGTGAGGAAAAGTGATGTACAGTAATAATAAAACTACTAGACCACCCTTGTTTTGTTCTGTTTCTTTTTCTAAATGTTTAGTAAAGTAAAGTATGGAAAGAACTAAAATTAAAAAAGAATAGCATTGTATTGTTCCCCTGGCTGGAAGTTGCCTGTTAGTAAGAGTAACTGTTAGCCTAGCATTAGGGGGTGAATTTCCTTTTTTGATTTTTTTGTTTTCGCTCGCTTAGACCTCAACCAAATAGCTTGTGAACCTTCGGCCACAACAGTCCCGCCCCCTTGATAAACGACCAATCATATTCACTTTATTCACGTGTGTAAAGTCGGGCAGCGGTTGGAGCAGCCGCTTCCGTACGACTTTAAAGACCATCTGTAGCAAAACCCCATTAGAAACAGCTGGAGAATAATAAAAACACAAGCATAAAGTGGCTTAGGCAGTACAATGTGTTCATTTATTATGGTCAGCTTGTTCTATGTTTACGATCAGAAGGACTGTTCATTTTCTTTCTGCCCTTCACTTGTTTTCATGAATCCCCAGTGACCAAACTCGTCCTTTTAATCTCAATAAACAGCAGCAGCTGATGTTGACAGAAACGTGCCAATAATCAGAAGCTTGAACTAAAGCCATCTCTAATTAGAGGCACAGACAATGTGATAAAGATAAAATAGTTTAACAGCATTACTATCTTATTTCACCGCGTTTTGTTCTATAATAAATAACCTAAACATCAGGAGGTCGCCTGTGCTGTCCATTTCCTTTGCTTCTTTAAAAATCTTTGTTTCGGTTTATAGTCAGTGAAGGTGGCATTGATCTACAGAATTTATGTCCCACCGCTGTGTTATTTTATGATTTGTGCATGTTAAAAAGGGACACATGACAACCTGGCCTTGTAAATAAGGAGATAATGTATAAATACGTCAGATGAGAGAGCAGGCGGGGCCACTTTTCATGGTTTTATTTCAGACGTAGTTGGATGAAGGATTGTCCCGCAGATAAACGAAGGCCTCATTTAATGCAGCTGGAGGAAGAAACTTCCTTCAAACTAGGGAGACTTTTGAAGTGTGACTGATGAGAAAACTGCAGTAAAAAAATTTGTTATTTTTTACTCATTTAACAGTGTAGTAAAAGATAAACTATTACATGCAGAAATGAATAGAGGTCAGGTGACCTCCTGGATGAGACAATCACGCAGTCTTGGAGTAATTTTAATGCTCCTCTTGTTCCCAAAGCTTCAGAAATGGCTTAATAACACTGATTGATGGCAGTGATTGTTTCCTATTAAGTGATTTTGAGGTTTAGTGGGTCCGATCTGGGTGTAGATGTGAACTTTGACCCCAAAACGTCATATTAAAATATCAATGTTTGTGTGTTTACATTTCACTGTTCAGTACTTCTTACTCTGAGATCAAATAAATAACGTCAGATTTAATTTTTTTGCCTCCATCTTTCCAGAGGATTCAGACCGTGAGCGCGACGGACCCCGACGAGCCGCTCGGAGGCCATCGCTTCGTCTTCAGTCTGGCCCCAGAGGCCAACGGCAAGGCAAACTTCTCTGTTCGTGACAACAAAGGTACAAACATTTTATTTAATGCGGGGGGTGAAGACTCACATCAGCACAAACTTCAGTGCATTTTAATTGGGAGTTTAAATGACAGAATAAGAAAGAAAAACATTTGGTTTAGCTGGAATGTTTTCCACATCCTTGAATAAACTCAAGGGTGTGAATACTTTTTAGGAGGTGAATGCTTTATTAGTGATGCCCTAAATCTTTCCCAGATAACACCGCCTGGATCCTAACCCGGAGGAACAGCTACAACAGCCTCCAGAAGAGCATCTACCACGTTCCCGTGGTGATCACGGACGGAGAGTTCCCGGAGCAGAGCAGCACCAACACGCTCACCATCAGGGTGTGCACCTGCGACCGCGAGGGCAACATGAAGCTGTGCAACCCCGAAGCGCTGACGGCGAGGGCGGGGCTCAGCACCGGCGCCCTGGTGGCCATTCTGCTCTGCGTCGTCATTCTGCTCAGTGAGTTGTGCTGCAGGAGTCTGAGCCCTGGCAGGTGTTTCAGAGGCGGTTTCATATTTCACTTCTTAATTTGAACCGTCTCCTCTGGTGGGCGGATTATCGCGTCAGGAGCAGCAGCTGTGGTCGTAATTTAGTTTGAGGCAACAGTGACTGACAGCATCAGAGTTTAACTGGTTTCAGAATGAAAAACAAACCTTTAAAGGTGAAGAGATAATTAGAATAACATTTCAAATATATATTAAAACGGCAATTGATAGATTGTGATAAATCCTAGCAGGTTACACTAACATCTGGACTCATTATGATGAAGGATGACCTGGCTAAAAATAAAATAATCTCACTCTGTTATAAAAGACTTTAATCCATCTAAAGAATAAATTATTTGATCATTAGAGTCACTTGTTGGCTCTTTTGAGACTTTTCTTATTACAGAATAAACATCACATACGTATATTAATGTTTTACCTTTAATTAGAGAACGGGCCAAATAATGGCTCTGATTGGTGATCAGCAGGTCGAAAAGAAAACAATCAGACTGAATTAAAGTGAAGACCATCTTAGGTCTGCATAGACTTCAAAGCTCTTTGAAAAACATGCAATCTATTCCTTTTTCTTTGCATCTAAGAAACTTTTTCCATCAAAGAAGCTGCAGCTCATGCCGTCCTCAGATGTTCCTGGTTTGAAGGAATGAAAATATTGCCTGTAAAGGGATACATTGGCGGATTTGTGGCTAAAATAAACCCATTTTTATGTTTTAATGTAGTTAAATGATTATTATTAATGCTAAATGGTTTAAGTTATACTTTAGAGTAAAAGCTGACTAATTAAAAATCAGTTTCCAAATATTTCTATTTGGGTTCTGCTCCTTTTTTTAATTTACTTTATAGCAACAGATGGAGAAGGGGCAGAGCCTAATCTAGATGAACAAACCTCTGTCCATCTGGAACTTTCTCAGGCATCTCAAAGCAGCAGAAACAGCAGGATAGAAAGTTAGCCCGACTGCTACATGTGCTGCTAATCCATCAGCTCATTTACGTATGCACAACCAGATATACATGCGGAGGGCCATAAATAATCTAATTCTGGTACTAAAATGACTTATTTCTATCCTTAACTCATCAAATAATGCTAATAAACAACTTTAAAAAAAATGTTTTATGACTTTTCTGGGACGATTTGATGCTTTCAACATTTCTCCGTTTTTTGTGTGAAGTCATCATCGAACAAGCTCGGAGCAGTCTGCATTTAAGTTGTTTCTTTCTTTAGATTGCACACTTTATACCATACGGTTAACACAAAAGGGAAAAATAAAACTCAAAAATAATAGATTTATATTTAAATCCAAACCGGAGAAAGTTAGCTCCCGGAAGTAGCGTAGGATCCAACTTCCGGTACAGATCGGGCAGAGTGGACTGATAAAAGGAAGGATTTTAATGCATTTTATATTCTCAGGAAATATTATTAGCCTTTAACACATTATAGTTTAGTATGCTTACTATTTTCAAGGAGGGAAAATGTTTTTTAGGATTTTTTTATAAAATTGCACATGTGCCAATGATCTGATGATACGGATGGAGTAGTGACTGTACCAACCCTTCGCTCGCTTAGACCAGAGGCTTTTATAAAAAATATTTTCTAGTATTACACATCAGCACATTGATAAAGAACTGATCTGGATCAGGTTTCCGTTTTAGAAGCAGATTCTCCTTTAAAATAGTAAAATGAACTTTAAAAACCTAATCACTGCAGCGAACCCGTTGGGATCACATTGTTAGTCATCAGACACTTTTTGAGGTGTCATTTCCTGTCTGTGATTTTAATTTAAAGTTGAAGTCATTTTTTATTAAGATATATTTTTAGAGGGAATTATTAACTGCAGGTCATGGACTGAGGTAGACGGGAACCTTTGTATTTTTTTCTGCTGGATCAGATGGTTAAACATGTTTGATCGAGCACAAAGAGGCCTGCATCTGATCTTCAGAAGCTAAGATGCAGCTGATGCTCTAGGTTCTTCCATGTTGTGTAGAAGTGGTGGCCCTGAGCGAGAACCGATGCATAATGCATCTCTCTGCTACCAGATTGTGATGTACAAAGTCCCTGAACATCAGTGGAGGAAAACAGCAATTCCCTGTGGACGGTCAGCGGCCTTCACAGCAGAGGGAGTGAGAGTCTGAGTTGTCTTTGTTTCTGCTCTGCTGCAGTGATCGTGGTGCTGTTCGCCGCCCTGAGGAGGCAGAGGAAGAAGGAGCCTCTGATCATCTCCAAAGAGGATGTCAGGGACAACGTCGTCAGCTACAACGACGAGGGCGGAGGAGAGGAGGACACTCAGGCCTTTGATATCTGCACGCTGCGCAACCCGGAGGCCATCGAGGAGAGCAAACAGAGGCGGGACATCATCCCCGAGACCTTCTACCCTCCGGTTCGACGGCCCGTGGTGCCGCCGCCGAGCCGGGACAATAACGGCGACGTGAGAGACTTCATCAACCAGCGGCTGCAGGATAACGACAGCGACCCGACGGCGCCGCCTTACGACTCGCTGGCCACCTACGCCTACGAGGGAAACGGCTCCGTGGCGGAGTCCCTCAGCTCGCTGGAGTCGGTGACCACCGAGGGCGACCAGGACTACAACTACCTGAGCGAGTGGGGGCCCCGATTTAAGAAGCTGGCGGACATGTACGGCGGCGACGACAGCGACTCCTAACAAGAGCCTGGCACACGGACGGAAAGCGTGGCGTAAAAACCCGAACGTTCAGGCGGTTTGGCCCTGCGGACACGCCGTCGGTGGAACGTTGAGAAGAACCGGCCGGCGGCGTCCTGTCGTCCCTCCGGTGACCAGACGTAGGCTTTGTGTGTCCAGTCAGTGTTAGTTGCGTTTTTTGCAGGGACGCAGTGAAGACTCTTTTTGTGTGTGTAAACAGGGTCCAAACCAGACCCAAATATATCGACAGATTTTATTTGGTTGTTTCTTTTTTTCCAAAGCTGCCTGTGACTTACGGACTCCCTACAAGCAGTTTGGTTACCTACAGATATGCCGACGTATTTTTCAGTGTTTCTGAGACTTAAACTAAATGCTGCATATTGTGAGTTCTATCTTAGCTTGTGTATGTACGGTTATATGATACAATCCGCTGTACAGTTTTCTTTTTTATCTCACCTCCAGTTTGACCTGAATCCAACTCAATTCATCCAGGAGGTACAGTTTGTCAAACCTTCACAAGAAGCTGTGTGTAAGCAGCTCTGAGGTCTTTGAGTTAAAATACCAAATATTTCCTCAATATGGAGGAATGTCATCAGTTTCTCTCTGATCCACTGAAGAAAATATTGTTTTTTTTGCTAAATTCATGAGACAAAAGGTCCAAAAAGTTGAAAAACTGTCCTGTTTTACCTTGGCTAGAACTTTTTATGTGGTGTTTGATTCTTCCTCCTAGAACAGAAGAAAATTCTGTAGCACCTTTCTCAGTGAAACTGAGTTATAACTACACTACAGGTACATCTTAATAGATTAGAATATGATCCAAAACTGTTTCTATTTCAGAAAATTACATTAAAAGAAATCTATAAATACCTACACTTGACATTTTCTGTTAAATTTTGATAAAGGCTAATAAAAAAGTTAAGTTTTGTGGCCACTCCCACAAAACGTGAAAATATCCCCAAAGATACAAGATGTCATTGCTAAAATAACTAATAGCAAACAATGGAAAATTTAGTGGAGGGAAAACATGATAGAGGGATGAATGTGGAAGCCCAAAGGGAAAAGTGTAGCTATGAAGGATTATGATTTTGATTCTTACCTGACCTAAAGACCTGATTGACCAATACTTGGTGCTCCGCATCGCTTTCTAACAGATAAATTTGAATTTCAGTTGAAAATCGGAGTCTGAAAAACACTGCTACTGTTAGTAAACGTTCTCATCTGTAGGCCATTTCTGTCTCAAACATCCTTTTTTATTGGTATAAACTACATTTTTCTTATTGGCTAACAGAAATAAACATTGCAAAGACGTCACTCTGTGTAATCAATCTATTAAACTTCATTGTTAGACTGAAATTGTAACAATGAAGATTTAATGATGTAACAAGGATCAGGTGGAGCTGGTAGGTCTCTACAAAGTTGATATATTTAAAGAAAGTGGAACTCTTTAGTTAAATTGATCTATCCTGAATTTACAGAGTCTTTTCTATTATAAAGTGTTTTTTTATTTTGATATAAAAGTCAGAATGATTCAAAATATTTGATGAATGTTTCCCCTCAAAATTAAAAATTGCTGCCCTCTAGATCATTGAAAGCAAGAAAGAAAATCTACAGTGTCGTGCGAGTCTGTTTGCCCTGCTCAGGCAGTTGCGCAATAGAGATGTGCCAAAAAGCAAAGATCACCAGTATTTTCCTTTACAAAACGCCTCCCATGGCTGTAGTCCTAATTACATGCACTGTACCTCGCTCCGGAGCCAGAGCAAACGCTTCGGCTTTACCCAGCTGATTTCCTGCGGGACCTCCAGCCTCCTCCATAAAGATGCTTATCGAAGGGGCACCTGACCTTTGAGCGGAGCAGAATTAGGCTTTTAAACCCAGAAGATTGTCCTCGGCTCGTGGAGAAGGTCAGCGCATCGACGAGGACACACGAGAGGTTCGCTTTAAATGCGATTTATGAAACAAAGGAAAACCATCCTAGAGCTGCGGCGTTACAGAGTTCATTGAGGACCTCCTAAAGATGAGTAAACAGCTCTGAGTTCAGCCTTGTGTCTGTTTCTGAGAGGGCAAAGTCATACGTATCAGCAGAAACAGAAAAAAAAAAACATGGGTACAACATGCTCTGCCCTCGCTTTAACAAAAGGCCAACCTGTGAAGAGGCTGACATTTGTCAGACATTTAGAACAGAAATAACACCATGGCATAATTGCCACAGAGCTACTTTCTTCTCTCCATCTGTAATGCTGCAGTCTATTAAACACACTGGCTGATTATAGAGGCTGGAAAACTATGAGAGGCTACTAGAGCTGTGCGCTCTTTTGTTTATTTGCTTTCCTCTGAACTTCTCATTGTGAGTTTTCAGGCTGAAGCAGTGTTGCTATGATAAGCATTAAGTCATCAACACTTCAAAGGGCCATCACTGCACCAAATCTGTTGGTCCGCCTCCAAGAAAATAGTTGAACTCTATATAGCGCCTAGGCTAAATACAAAGAGCTAGAGGTTTATTTTATAGATAGTTCAGGCTAACCCTGATAACTCAGCAACCAGTGGTGACCAATGAAAAGCTGGCATCGCATACAGTGGTCCCAACGACCTCAGGTGAAAATGTATAGGAAATCATCTATAGCATGCAGAAAACAAAAGGATAATTAGCTTTTACCAAGATAAAACTAACAGTATCATGGTTTTATTTTTTTTTGTTATAAATCTAATCAATATAACTCTTTGGTCAATGTAACATGCCAACATCTGCGATTCAATTACTGAAGCTAAATCTTTAATAACAGGCAGTCCAATACCATATATGGCAGATTTGTGTTTAGAATGGAAATGTAGCTCATTATTGCCGCTATTACCGCTATATAAATATGGCAGCCATATTGGCTTTTGAAGCCCGGGTGCTAAAGAAACCTTTGACTTAAAAAGGCGTTCTAGTTGAGTCTGCCAATTTGAAAATCTAAAAATCAACATTGGATTAGATTCTTGCAATGAAATGTATGACGGAGTATTAGGGCCAGCCTAAAGATAATATTTTCTTCTATTTCGAGAACAAAGTCGTAACATTACGAGAATAAAGTCGTAAAATTACGAGAATAAAGTTGTAACATTACCAGAATAAAGTCGTAACATTACCAGAATAAAGTCGTAACATTACCAGAATAAAGTCGTAACATTACCAGCATAAAGTCGTAATATTATGAGAATAAAGTAATATTACTAGAACAAAGTCGTAACATTACGAGAATAAAGTTGTAACATTGCCAGAATAAAGTCGTAACATTACCAGAATAGTCTCTTGTCAACTTGTTTCTCATAATTTTGGGACTTTAATCTCCTACTAAATTCCGACTATTCTCGTTGTGACTTTTTTCTTGTAATGTTACGACTTTATTCCCGTAATTTTACAACTTTATTCTCAAAATAGAAGGGGAAAAAAAATCTCTAGCTTGGCCCTAACACTCTGTCATAGAAATGCACAGTTAAAACGATAAATATGTTATAGCAGACACAAAATGTTAACGTTATCATCAATACGTACATGCTAATGATGCTTTCCACATGCTAATGATGATCGTAATCAGCAAGTATTTAATGAGAACCCCTGAGGAAAAAAAGTTGAATTATCTTCTGTTAGCTAGCATTTTAGGACAAAACCGAGAACATTTCAGTGTGTCGGTCTTACGATGGTAACGTAATCTTATGTTCAGAAGAGCTCTTCTAACACGACTCAAAGTTAGCAACATCTCCCTTTGCTCGATCTAAACTGGGACAGCTATTCAGACAAAGAGCTACGAGTCTTTTTATATGTGGTCCAGTAGACTTTCCTTTTTGTTGATCATTTTAAGGGAGAAGGTTAATAACAGTCACAATTTCAAGCTGGTCTTTAGCATAACGGTACTAGGAATTAGCATCATTAGCATTACAATTATTACTTAGCACTATCCAGCTTACGGGTTATACTAATTAGCATCCAGATAGCACACAATTAGCCTTTCAATGTTTCTCTGTACTGTTTTGAACAATTTCCTAGATACAAAATGACTTTTTGGTTGGTTCTATTATTATTATCCATATATTATCATTATAACTTTGAGGCAGTTGCTAATAAAACCATGTTACTGACTGTCTTGCTAGACTCAAAAATTACAGTGCAAACCATAGCGCATTCCTAATGCTAGTTCTGCTAATTTATTAGCTTTCAACATGCTAATGATTTGGCTCTTTCACATGTTGAAAGGGACAACTAGCAACCTAAAGCTAGCTGTGTTAGCAGTTTACATTCATCAAGTCTGGTAGTCAGATCCTGCAAACAAATAAATTTTTTTAGACAAACGGTTCTTATTTTGTCAACATTTCTGGTTGCTCTGTTATTAAGGCTAGCTAAAAATGAGAAGGATAACTAGCTGGTTTTAACAGAGCTGTGACTTTCGGCTACAGTTTGTCCGTGATTTACACCACACAGCTCAGAATCTCTAAGTGTCCCCTTTGGTTTTCATATTTGCTGTTTTCATATGGGGTATAAGCATATCACCAACACTGAGAACTGTTTGTGTTTTTACAACGAATGAAACTGCCTCCATAATAATGAGCCACACCACTTTTTTTATTTTTTTGTTTCCAATGTGTGAGGTTCTTTCTGAGGGAACTGGTTGGAAACACTGAAGTGCGGATGCAGTAGATCTGTGGTTGTTGATGTGCAGACGAGGTTGCCCTCGGGCCTCGCCTCTTCTATGCTATAACTCTGTCGGTGGCAATGTGGTTCAGCAGTCACGTTTTGTTTATGTAGAAACGATCCGAGAACTAGTGGTAGTCTAAGGGGGGCCCGACGTGACCGGCCATTCATCACTCTGCTTTGTAAACCGTGATATTTTGTACTGAATATTTATATGACACGATTAAATATGTTTAAAATGAGTCCGTCTCAATGAGGTCTTCTTGCCAAACAGACAACTCTGACGGATGGAAACTTTAATTTGAAAAATGTGACGGCAGCCGCAGGCAAAAGCACACCAGACACTCTCCAGCCCTCACAGGTATGTACGCTTTATCCGTAATGAATCTCAATATAAAAGACTCAACTCAACACAGATAAGTTATTAATATGTCTGCCGTTGTTAAATAGCTAGATCCAGAGGCGACAGAGCCGGGGAAATTGTTAATTAGACAATCTATAATTAAGATCAGTGAGACAGCCAATTGGATCTCAAGTGAGATGATTAAAAAAATGAATGAAGGGTGGAAAACTTTTTATTATTATTATTGGCAGATAAGTAGCAGATGGTGACACTGTTGGTGTAATCGACCCTCTTTAGAGTTTTTGTCTCATCAGAAGTAAATAAAAGCAGATTGCTGGTGATTCATTTTAAAACTTTATTTATTTAACATCTCATATTCAATTTTATGAAAACTTTATTTCTTATTGTTGGTTTGTTTCTGTAACACATTTCTGAAAAGTACTTTCCAACCACAGTTTTAGAAAACAAGAAGGCGACGGTTGAAGAGTCAAACATGACATCTCTCTCTCTGACTCCTAACAGCATCTCAGTACCTGCAGTACCTCGTCTTCACTAACTCTCCCTTGAACTGCTGCCACTTTTCTGCTCCTTGATCCACCAAACGAGGCGCCGTCACTTCCTGCCCTCCGCCGCCTCGTCGGTCTCCTTTTCCTGACGCTCTCGCTCCCGTCTCATCTCCTTCAGCTCCTGACGGTATTTCCGCTCAATGAAGCGCTTCTGATGAGCCATCTG